CTCAAAGATTCTGGGTAGAGAAGATGGAAGAAAGGTGCAGGTTTGCAGGGTCTGAGGCGACTCGGGCTTTTCCTGCCTTTTTCTTTTGCTTAAGGGATGGACAAGAAGCTGAGATTTATGACCCTTATTAAAGAAAAAAAGGTGCCTCGCCAGGGTGGGGACCCTTGGTTTCTGCAGTCTCTCTCTCTCTCTCTCTCTCTCTCTCTCTCTCTCTCTCTCTCTCTCTCTCTCTCTCTCTGTGTCTTTAACAAAACCAAACCAAAATGCACTGATGGGTTTGTAATGGTAGTTTGTTTGTTGCTGAAGAATGCTACTCTGCATGCTTTTTTTTTTTTTCTCTTGCAGGCTATGTTCTGTTTTGTGCTTTTCCTTTTAGAAGCTACTAAAGGGTGTTGGGGATGCTTCTGACTGGCGAAGGCCAAAAGGTAACAATGTTGTTCTAGGAAATGAGCCTAAATGCGTTCCAGTGATGCTGTTAGCCATACATGCTGTCTTTTTTTTTTCCTTGTAGGCCTGTTGACTGACTGGGGCTGCTCTTAACCCTTTCATATTTGCTGAGAATGCAGCCGTGTGACAGTAACTGAACACTGATCCAAAGTCTTTCCAAAAGGTCAAGGTTCACAAGGTGAGATACGCCGTTTTGAGCATGAATTTTCATATTTATTTGCAGATCCATTCAGAACACAGACTGGCAACGGATTGCTACCCTGGAGATAAAAACCGGGTTCAGAGTGGAGAAGAGAGACTCTTAATGTTATCCCACTCTAATGGGATTAGAATGACTGGGTGATGGCATTGCTATCAAGGCGAAATCTGAATGCCTTCATTAAATCGCATGTGTCTTGGCAATTGGCAGCATCAGGCCTGGAGAGAAGCGAGTTTAGAGAATGGTAGGCATCAGGGCCTTGTGGAGAATGTGCCGTTTTGCATGAGATGAAAGCAGCACACGTGCGGCATTTTTCTGACGATTATCAGAAAAGGAAGGACTTCCCCACATCGAGGCAGCCTGGCCCCCTTTTTAGGATTTGAGGAGTCTGAAGGTAGATTTGCCTTTTGTTCATCCGTCACCTTGCTTTTCGCTGGCTCTCCCGGGTTAGTTCACCTGGAAGGTTTTTCACTCCCAGTCAAGTGGTGGAATGTCTTTTATTGATTTTGGGGGCTGTTGACGGTGAGTTCACCATTGGAGTATCTGTAGCATACATTTTAATGTGGAATACTAATGCGGTACCAGGAGGAAACCGGGCAGTCTGGCTTCCTCTGTGAAAAGGTGCCCCGTAATGGATGGTAGAAAATGTCTGATGCCTTCCTTGAAAGATTGCAGCTAGATCTGAGCTGGCGTTTTTATGTGCCTCCAAGACCAGAGGCTGGAGAGGAGAGGAGAGAGCAGGAACGAATGTAGCAAAGTGAAGAACAAAGGCTGAGAGAGCTTACTCAGAGGAACAAGAAACATTTTGCCTTGGGGTTTCTTGTGAAAAGAACTGCAACTTCCCCAAACAGGAAGCCCGCATCCAGAATGAGATCCAGTGTGATCTCAGCACTAGACAGAAGGGATTCGGCCTCTCTCCTGGTTTGGTAAAAGCGTAGTCGAGAGGAGCCCAAAGAAGACATGATTGAAAATGCATTTCTCCTCTACTTTGAAGTAGGCATTTTTGTTCCTCTCCGTGTGCTGCAGAATGGAGTCTTTTCAGCAGTGCTGAGGATCTGGGAATTGGTTAAGCTGTGTGCTGGCAGTTGCTGGGCAGGGTATCTGCCGTGAAGGACGTCAAGTATGCAAGGGTTTTTATTGTTAAAATGTTTTTCGTTTGGCTACAAAACAGCCACTGTGTGATAAAACTGGCAAAAGGGAAGGGAGAGTGCGTGGCTAGCTGGGATACTTCATGGAGAATTTAATAGAGATGAATGTAATCTCAGATGGATAGACCAGTAAATAGCTTACACGATGGAACAAAATTCTTTACAAATCACTGTGCTAAAATTGGTTTTCAATTCTCCATCACTTGACTGTCAGAGGTTCTGTGTGTGAGTGTGGCAGGAATATGCTTGCAAAGCAGATCGGAATCCATGTTGCATACTGTGCTGCTCTGCGCTTCTGATGCCAACTAAAACTCAGATGGCTAATATGATAAAGCTTAATTAGCTTAATACAGTAAGCTGTTTTCTCATTTAGGCCTTCGTTCTTTCTCGAGAGTCACTGATTTTTATTTAACTTTGACAGCTAACCCCCTGCCAATGGCTGTTTCTTGAGAATATGTTTAAAAGCCTCTTTGTATAAGGCTTTGCATGCCATGGAACGTTCTGGTTGTCTCTCCAGGTAGTTTTTAGCTCTGTTGCTCTCTCTACCCCCAGAAGTCTCACGAAAATAGCCTTCGTGTTGCATTTAGACCTGTCTTTCCAGCTGCAGTTGCCGTGGAAGGTTGGCGAGCTGGTTCTCCAGGGCGGTAGTCCTGAGCTCGTCGTGGATTGGAGCTTGTCTGAGCTGTTGCTGTCTGGCGGAGGTATAACAGTGTAGCAGGCCCAGGTCTCCCCGTGAGGGGCAGCATCTTCTGGGCTTGAGCAGGTAGAGGTCAGTGGGGGAGTGAGCAAGCGCATGTCCCTTCCTGGGAGAGCCAGGAGGGAACAGGAGGCGCCCACACTTGGGGTGAGGGCATCCGCCTGGCTGTGTCTGCTGCTCTGGGCCAGAGCCCCGCCCCTGTTGAGGACAGGAATGTGTGGGTTTGGCTGAAGAGAGTACACTGGAAAGAAAGTAGCACTGGGTGTCGAAGCCTTCTTGTTTTTATCATTGGCTTGCTTAGAGTCATGTTTTCCCGTGTCCGGGGAGGGGGGTGGGGGGGTTTAGAACTCTCCTCAGAGTGTCCCTGCCCCCACCCACCTTGACTCATTTGTAAGGAAGGTCGCACAGAGCGAGGTAGCCAACGTGTAAGCGGAATTTTCTGCTTATGTCTTTGACTGAGTTAGAATTTTAGGATTTGCGTTCTCCTCTGGACTTCGCTGTGGAATAGTCTGTCTTCAGCTGGTTCTGAATAACCTTTCCTGTGGCCTTGGTAGAACTCCATCTGGCTGTTCGTCCTGGAGCAGAGCTTGCCATGATGGGACCTCAGAAAGGTTGCCAATAGAGGGAGACTGAGTCCTTCATCCCCCCCCCACGCCTCTTCTAATCCCAGGAACAACAGTCTTGATACGCGTGGCAGAAAGACACACTTAGGGGTGGTCTTTAACCAAGTCATGGTGAAAGAATCCACTTTTTCTTTGGTCACGCTCCTCTCTCCGTCCTTACTCCTGGCAACCACTGCTCCACTGTAGGGACCTTGTTCTCTGCTTGTGGAGTCTGTTCTTCTGCAGACTGTCACATAAATGGCAAAATGGATTTGACATTCATCCGTGCTGTTCTGTGTGTTGATGCTTTGGTTCTTGTTTACTGCTGGTTAGTATTCCACTGTATGGATGTACCACAGTTTGTTTACTCATTCACTGGTTGAAGGACATAAGCGTCATTAACAGTTTTTGGTAATTGTGAATAAAGCTGCTGTAAATAGTTGTGTACAGGTTTTCGTGTGAGCCTGTTTTTCTCTTTGGAAAATGCAATCAGGCATCAATTAGTGACACAAGTATGTATTGGGGAATGTGTTGCTGGGCAATTTTGTCATTGTGCAAATGTTCTATAGCGTGCACGTTCACAAAACTGGGTGGTGTAGCCTACTACGTACCTTGGCTGTACGGTACAGTCTGTTGCTTCAGGCTACCGACCTCGACAGCATATTACTCTACTGAAGACTGAATGACTATAACGCAGTGATAAATACTTGCCTATCTGAGCATGTCTAAGCATAGAGAAGACACGTAAGATAACGGTGTCGTGGACCGGTGAGTATATATTGTCCCTTGTTGGCCTAGAGGTGGTTGTGCATTGCATGGCCACTTAGGGTTGGGACGAGTTGACGGGGTCATGTGATGCATACATAGGAGCTAGAAGTTTGAATGGAAAGACATTCATCTCAATGTAAGTCACAGAAGAGACCTAGCCTTGACAGCTGCAGTGAAGATCACCCAGGAAAGAGACTGTAGTGAACGTTGTCTGAAGACAACACGAGATGATCACGATAATAGAACACCCTCTAATGGGATGACATGCTTTATAACCCTGAACTCATCGGAATTAGCCAAAAGTGGAAACAGAAGACTGCAAATGGCAAAATAGCCTTTATTTCCTGCAGCCGTTATTTTTAATCTCTTCAGATACATCTGGCCGTTTAGTTTTTACATTTGTTTTCAAGTTCAATAAAGCACCAAACAGTAATAGAATTGAAGTTTTTGGAAAGGGATACCAGAGATCTTTGTTGAAATCTTAGTTGTGTGTAAACAGCTTCTTAGTTATAATTTGACTTATTGGCTGCCAAGGTGTTGGTAGTGTTTTAATATTGGAAGTTATTATTCGGCTTTTATACCTTTTAAGGAACTGAAAAATTGAGCAATGTTAAAGCAATAAGGAAGACAGGCTTTGGAAGCAGACTTTTTCCTTTTTTTTTTTTTTGAGTCTCACTCTGTCAACCAGGCTGGACTGTGGTGGCATAATCATGGCGCACTTCAGCTCAGCTTCCTGAGCTTAGGCGATCCTTCTGTCTCAGCTTCCCAAATGGGCTTTTTTTTAAGATCAGGAAGAATGAATAGGGGTCATGGTGGTGCAGAGGGAAGGGAACCCAAGAGGAGGGGAGCTACGTTAATTTGGGGATTGCTTCAGCCAGTTAACATGCTTAATTGCGTGTTTACTGAGCACCGGACATTGTGCAGGCAGGGAAGAGCTGAGGGAAAGGGAAGCCAGAGAGAACCATCTAGTGGGAAGAAGCTATGATAGGAATGTGAGCAGGCCACCTAATGTCTGGGAGGAGCCCTGGAAGAGGTGGCTCCTGAGAGGAATCGTGAAAGACCAGCAAGGATCTGGGAGGCAGGCACAGAGTCTGAGGGAGCGAGGGGAAGGGCCCAGAGAGCTTGGTGCTGCAGGGGCCATGGCAGTGCCAGGGGACAGAGCCAAAAGGCAGTCACGGGCCGACCTGTTGAGGGTCTGTCAGACGGTCCCTTCCAGGGTGGCCTTCCTGTGCAGACCGGCCTTTCAGGACAAAAGGCCTGGGGTGGCACCGTGGAGGATGGAGTAGGGCGGGCTGGGCCGGAGGTCGGGAGGTCCAGCGAGGGGACTAGCTGTCCAGGAGAGGAACGCTGGGGGCCCTCGATCCCAGGGCTTGTTCCTGGGGGCGGAGTGGCCGGTGAGCAGCTTCGGGCCAGTGTGGACCGGATGGGACGTGTGCGTGCTGGGGAGGGAGGAATAGAAGCGGCCTCCCAGGTGGTGGGCTGAGGTGCCGTGGCTGGTTGCCTGTTTCCAAGATGGCCCATTCGGAAGGTGGGATTGGTTTGGAAGAGGGGAGATGGAGAGGCTCGCTGCAGGTTTGGGCTCAGTTGCCTGGGGAGGCGCCCTTTTCCTGTCTGTCTGTCGGGAACGGAGGAGGGCTGTTTGAGCTGGAGGTCTCTGTTGGGAGTAATCAGTATCGAGCAGAGAGGATAGAAGAAAGCTCTAAAAAGGGCTGAGTTTGTATCCCCTGAGATCATGACTTGTATAGTAAAAGCCGGAAATGAAGGGGGAGGGGCGGCTGAAGAACACAGGCCTGCTCGAGGAGGCTGGAGTGCAAATATTTTCAGAGATGAAGATGACACCTGCCGGCTCTGCAGTAGGGGTGGCCCTTGTGTCATCTCAGTTTTTGCTGATTTAGAAGATTTTTTTGGGGGGGCAGGGTTTCACTTGTGGCCCAGGCTGGACTCGAACTCCCTGGCTCAAGGGATCCCTCTATCTTGGCCTTCCAAGCAGCTGGGACTACAGGTGCGTGCCACCATGTCCAGCTGTTATGTTGTGAGATAACAGCATCATGAGAACATCATGAGATGGCGAGATTAGTTGTATATTCTGACCCCCATGGTACCAGTGGAGATACTGAGACAGAGGCCCTGGCCAAGGCCTCCAGCTCAGAAATAGCAGGAGAAGCAGAATTTGAAGCATGTGCCCCGTCACTGTGCCGTTCTATCTTGGGGAATCACAATGTTGGACGAAGGACGAGCACAGACGCTGTTTGAGGGTGGAGGCTGGGAAGTGCCCAGAGACACGTTCAGGTTGGAGGAGACGGTCTGACTGTCCTGGTGAGAATGGGCAGTGGGGAAACACTTTGAGACACACGGAGGGCCTTTCTATCGAGTCATATTTTTGTGACTTTAGCACAGAGGGGGGTTCTGCCTCAGAGACGGCTCCAGAGACAGCATGTTAAAAAGGCAGGTGGCTCAACCTGTCATCCCAGCACTCTGGGAGGCCAAGGCGAGAGGATTGCCTGAGCCCGCGGGTTCGAGACCCACCTGGGCAACTTGGTGAGACCTCGTCTCTGCAATAAATAAAAAATGAGCCGGGCGTGGTAGCGCGCGCCTGTAGTTCCAGCTACTGGGAAGGCTGAGGTGGAAGGATCGCCGGAGCCCAGCAGGTCGAGGCTGCGGGGGCCGGGAGCGGCCACTGCACTCCAGTCTGGGCGACAGGGTGAGACTCCAACTCAAAAAAAAGAAAAAAGACTTAAACGATTTTCCTAGGGCAAGGATGCAGACGGGAAGGGAGAAGGGATGGGGAGATGCATTTATTTATGTGTTCTTTGAAACAGACAAGAAAGTCAAAGTAAATTGGAAGTGGTGCTGAGAAAGATCGTTTGTTCCAACAGTAAACAAACACAGTTTCAAGAATTATTTGGATCATCTTCTCCAGACAGGAAGAGAGAGGAGTGCAAATTCTGTTCAAATCTGGAACTGGTATGAGTGATTTTTAGACAAACTCAGAGTGGCTTTTTTTAGCTGTTTCACATATTCCCTATTAAGAATCCCTCTCTAAGGATGGTATTTTTTTTTTTGATATTGTTTTGTTTTCAGTTATTATACAGCTGTACCTAGCTAGAGCTTTTAGACATTTTGAATGATCCATAAAGACCCAAAGATATAATCAGGATGTTGTAGTTTTTGGCTATTTTCTCAGCATCAGCCTTTTCTTTTGGGGACATAAACTCTTTCAAAGGCTGACTCATGAGGCTAGTAATGGGTATTGATTTTATAATTTTCCTCTACGAGGAAGAAATTCTTTCTAGAGATCTGAAAAGTAAGAATTAAATTGTTGAAAAACTTAATAGGTTAGAAATTTAGAGCCCACTGCTTTTTTTTTTTTTTTTTTTTTTTTTTTATGAGTTGGATTCTCACTCTGTCGTCCAGACTGGAGTGTGGTGGCCGCTCGTGGCCACTGCAGCCTCGATCTGCTGGGCTCCGGAGATCTTTCCGCCTCAGCCTTCCGAGTAACTAGAACTACAGGCACGTGCTACCACACCCAGCTGGTTTTTGTATTTATTGTAGAGATGAGGTCTCGCCAAGTTGCCCAGGTGAGTCTTGAACCCGTGGGCTCAGGCAATCCACTCACCTCAGCCTCCCAAGGCGCGGGATTACAGGCTGAGCCACCGAGCCCGGCTACTTTTTTTTTTTGAGTTGGAGTCTCACTCTGTTGCCCAGGCTGGAATGCAATGGCACGTTCACGGTCACCTCAGCCTTGACCTGCTGGTCTCAGGTGCCCCTTCTGCCTCAGCTTTCCAAGTAGCTGGAACTACAGGCGTGTGCCACCGTGTCTGGCTAATTTTTTGATTTATTGTAGAGACGAGGACTCACCAAGTTGTCCAGGCTGGTTTTGAAGCCCTGGACTCAGACGATCCTCTCGCCTCGACCTCCTAAAGTGCTGGAATGACAGACTTGAGCTATCTCGCCAAGCCTGAGTCCTCTGTTTTAAAGGATCCCAGACTGGGTGCGGTGGCTCATGCTTGTAATCCCAACACTTTGGGATGCTGAGGTGGGAGGGTCGCTTGAGGCCAGTAGTTTGACACCAACCTGGGCAACGTATTAAGACCATATCTCTACAAAAAACAATTGAAAAAATTAGCTGAGTGTGGTGGCTCATGTCTAGTCCCGGCTTCTTGGGAGGCTGAGGCAGAAGGATCACCTGAGCCCAGGAGATATGAAGCTGCAAAGAGCTGTGATCGTGCCACCGCACTCCAGCCTGAGTGACAGAGTGAGAGACCCCCGACTTAAAAACAAAAAAAACCCAGGATCCCGTAGGTAGGAGTACTTCAGATATCCCCTCATTTTCTACTGTGAGCCCACATTGGGGGTAAGGTCATCAGGTAATTGAAAGCAGGTTTGGGCCTGGGCTCGGTGGCTCAGCCTGTAATCCCAGCACTTTGGAAGGCAGAGGCGAGAGGATTGTCTGAGCTTATGGGTTCGAGACCAGCCTGGGCAACCTGGCGAGATTTCACCTCTATGATAAATCAAAAAATTAGCCGGGCGTGGTGGCGCATGCCTTTGGTTCCAGCTACTTGGAAGGCTGAGGCGGAAGGATCACCTGAACCCAGCAGGTCGAGCTGCGGTGGCCAGGAGCGTGCCACTGCACTCCAGCCTAGGCAACAGAGACTTCAACTAAAAAAACCAAATCAGCCGGGCGTGGTAGCGCGCGCCTGTTGTTCCAGCTACTTGGAAGGCTGAGGTGGAAGGATCGCCAGAGCCCAGCGGGTTGAGGCTGCGGTGGCCGGGAGCGGCCACTGCACTCCAGTCTGGGCGACAGAGTGAAAAAAAAAATTCTTCTTGCAAAGGAGGTAAGGTAGAACAGGGGAGTCAAATCCTTCCAAGAAAGAAAAAAATGCTGGGTCTAAGGCTGTGCTCCTAAAACAGACCGAAGTGCACAAACAGCAGCATGATTCTAGGAGGGACTTAGCACATACACTCCACTAAGCACTTTATTTGTAGTTAATCTTCCTAACGATCCTCATGAAAATTATGGTTTAGAATCTAAGTAACTGGGGGGGGATTAGCAGCTGAGGGAAACTGCTAGGGGAGGGAGGGGCACACTTCATCAACAAGGGTGCCTGCATGGTCAGTGTTTGTATACCTAACCCTGAATTATAACCCACATCTTTATAATAAAAACAAACAAGTAAATAAACAGAATCTAAGTAACTTGCTCAAGGCTCCCTAGCTAATAAGTGGCAGAATACAGATTTCTGTCATTGAGGGCGAGGTAAACACACTCATGTCACTGAATGCCAGTGGAAAGCAACCGAAAACCTCCATGGCCTCACCATCCAGATCTAACTAGAACATAAAGCAGCATCCATTCCCAAACTACCTGTCTCATCAAGGACTGCCTGTTTTATTATTATTCTTCTTGTGTTGGAGTCTCTCACTGTTGCCCAGGCTGGAGTGCCATGTCCACCCCAGTGCTGACCAGCTGAGCTCCCGCGGTCCTTCCGCCTCAGCCTTCCAAAGAGCTGGAACTACAGGCGCGCACTACCACACCCTGCTAATTTTTGATTGACTGTAGAGATGAGGTCTCGCCAAGTACAGGCATGAGCCACCACACCTTGACACTGTTTGTTTTTGACCATGAAAGCACACAACTGTGTGTCTCGCTTTGTCTCTGACGCTTCAGTGACAGCAGCCTTGTATCTGCTTAAAAGTGGTGAAGTGTAGGTGAAAGGGTAGCGTCTTTGCTTCGACTTGGTTGTATTCTCATTTGTAGTTCAGAGAGTCTTGTCTGGATTTTGTACTTATAATTTTGAACTTGAACCTTCTTGGCTCCTGGAAAAATTTAACCCAGCCATTGAGTGGCTGTAGTTAAGGTAGTCTGTCTCTTGGTTTAATTTACGTTGATTAGAGTTTAAAACAAAACAAAACTTGATTGTGAAACTATGCCAGGCTAGCAGAAGCCTGTGTTCTGTCTTGTTCCCCTGGCACTCTGCTGCCTACGTTTGTTGGACAATGCCTGGTTATTTATATTTTGCATGCTGGGACTCGGCTGAGTGGAGGATGGACCTAGAGGACCATAATTATTTGACCTTTGGAGCTGCTCTGTCCAGCTTGGTAGCTACTGGCCACATATGGGTCCTGAGCCCTTGAAATATGGCCATTCCTCTCTGAGATGAGCTGTAATAGATGGTGCACACCAGGTTTTGAAGACTTAATTAAAAAAGTAGACTGGGCTTGGTGGCT